CTGGTTTCCAAGGCTGAAGTTCTGCCTTCATATATAATCAGATACAGACATTTCCTTCAGATATTCCTTCCACAGATGTTCTAGCTTGCTTGCCCACCAATTTCCACAGGAAATAGCGTGGATCTCTTATCTGTCGTTTCTTTATGTGCAAGCTATGAAATGTTTTAGCTGAAGACAATGTTAAAGGCTCAAAGTTAAGCTCTAAGAATAAGAGGCTGAAGCTAAAGCTTTATCTGTGCATTAAGATTGCCTCCAATAAGCAACCTCTTGTTTCTGCAGAAGCCCAAGCCTACCTTAGCACGTGCCAGAAAGGAAAGTCATGAGGAATTCTGCTGAAACAAGATACTAGTTACTTACACTGTTAAAAAATGACAAATTTTGGTCATCTTTGTCCAATGAAAGAGAGACTTAAAAGTTACTAAAAAATGCATGGATCACATGGATTTATTGCATGGATTTATTAAGGTCCTCATAGAAAAGTAATGTAATTAAAAAAACCAACAAACAGTACTGCTTCATCAAGAGAAATTTTTAACTTTCTGATACTTTTACTAATACAAAATGTAGGTCTGACCTCATTCATCACGTATAAAGACCGAAGCAAGGCTCCTACACAAACAACATGACCAGTGCAGATTGTTGTAATGAAGAACATCAGGATACCGGTGTGCACCTTCAAATATAGTCAGAATTAGTTGGTTCTTGAACGTGTCTATTACCACTCAAGATCCCTGCTGCCTATGCTTTTACTTCCATATGCATCAAAACTTATGCGATTCAAGTTTTAGAGTCACTAGAGATTTTGAGTGCTGAATATAAGAAACCTGTTTTAAAGAGGGCAGCCCCCCAAAATCATATTATTCAAAGCTGTCTTGACTGGGACTTTTCTTTTTGCTTCTGTATGTGCAGGTAAATGTTTAGTTTTATGCATATGGCGCACATAAACATGCCCTTAATCAAGAAAGTTGCACGAGTGCTTTGGTTTTAGTCTGAGTAAAAGGTTTTTTCTAAGTTCAGGATAATCCTGTTCCATAATGCTGCTATCATTAGGATATGCATTCTGCAACTGCCTTTGGGAAATAAATGAAGAATATACTTTTTGAGTTCCATGCGTTCACTATGTATTTCTGCAGCCCTTTTAAAATAGATGCCTCATTCTTCTCAGCTAAAAAACACGGAACAACTTGCTCATAATTTACTGTCTTTTAACATTTGCTTTCTCTACAAAACCTTAGGAAAAACGCTGGGAGTTTTCCTTTGCTGTTAAATATAAAAGCTTCAATTTTTCTTTGAAAAAGAAAACTGATGAGCTCAGTTTAGAGCATGTAGTTTCTGCCTTTACTGTTACAGAAGTCAATACAATGCTAGCAATGCAGACAGGGCAGTTACTTAATAAGGACCAAGTACACAGTTATTGTGTCAGAGATGGTAATTTAGCATGCTCATACTAAAACTTCATGAAACTTTTATTATTGTATTTTTGTTTACCTTGTTATTTGAGCAATTCCATTTATAAATGTTACAGCAAATCATTGTTAAATGCTGAAGCTTTGACTGAAGTCACCTCTGAATCCACTCATGAGCCTTTGGACTACAGGCTACGGTGTAAAAAGGAAGGAAAAAAGGTTATTTGTCTTGATATTTGTTTTCTTCTTTTCACTTTATCTTTCACATCTTGCACTTTGCACTTCAGGGCTGGTTTCAGTGCAACGTAAAAAATTTGTGCAAATGAGACACGTTACATTGGGCACTTCAACCTTTTTTTTAAAAAAATTGCATTACAATTTTGCAACCCGTGGTACAGAATGAAAGCTAGCATTCAGACACTTCGGTTCCTAATTTCCAGAAGATAAATGGACATAAAATTATTAAGCAGAAGAATCTGAACACCATCAAAAGCAATAAATGTTCCATAGGAAATGAATTTGGTAAATTTTAAGGTCATTATAATTAATCACCATGACTTGTTCATGAATTATAACTCGTTCTGCACTCAACTACAATTATTTTGATTTAATGCTTTTTATCAATGAATATTCAATTCCACTTAACTATCTAAAGTGATTTGCAAGATCTAAACTCTCAAATATCTCTCCTGTTCATCTCTTTCAGTTCATTTCTGCCATCCAGCTTTTTATGAGTCACTGAATTATTTCTAAATCCCAAACACATTTGGGTGACTAGCTTGCTTACAAAACAACAACTGTAAAAAGAGGGACTCATACTGGATTATTAAATTCATGACTGTAACTCTAAATTTGTATAAAAGCCTTTTTATAACTTATTTATGCACGACTTTCTCAAATCATTGCTGAAGGGCTGGTATTGACCTGCAAAGGGAAGGTACTCTTCGGTCCCTGTTGCTGCAGAGCTTGCCTTCTGAAGGCCTCAAAATGATTTAACTATTAATAAATCAAGAATGTATTTGTCATAAGGCAATTACTACTTACCTAAAAAACAACATTACAATTCTGTCATGACAGACACTCAAAATGCCTTTTTTTTTTTATGGAAAGGTTTTTGAAGCTGGAAATGCCTTTTGGCTTTCATTTGCTTTCTTTGCCAACAGAAGGGAAAAAATAGGGGAGTGGAAAAGTCTGGAAACAGCATAATTAGGTCTGTTAAAGAGAGAAAAACCATTGTTTTGGGGGAAGAAAACATGCTATTTGCAATAGAAAAATGTATAAGGGGTAATAGAAGATCAGTTGCAAGGGAAAACAAGCTACCGCCTGCATGTTGGGACAGGGTGAACAGAGGTATCGGCACAGAAGAGGCTCTTCAGTCTTCTGGTAAAACACTAATGGAGCGTGTTAAATTCTACCTTAGAAAATAAAACCACACGGGACACTTTCTCTTCAGCACATACAAAATGTTTTGGTGATTAATATAGAACTAAACTGTGTATAGAAGTGGCTTGTGCCACCAGTCTTGTGACTGATAAACCTCTTGTGGAAGATGTACAATTCTGTCTTCCTTCATCCCGGGCAAAGCCAGGGGAAGGAAATTAGTGCCACATCTGTAAGACCTGCCTGAAAAAAACATGACAGTTTGTCAAAAGAATATCTGTTGCCTCACCCAATTTCTGGATTTACAAAGAGGCTGGCAGGATCTTCACAACGTGAAGGTGAGCGCGAGTGCAGACTGGCAGGGGAAAGCAGAATGCCTTCCGGGGGGAGCAGAACCACCCTCCACCACCCTGAGCAGGGAAATCATCCTTCCTCCTAACACATCAGAACTGCAGACTTGGGCCAGAACGGTGTAAGGACATAGTCATACCTCCTGGTAACACACCCTTTGGCTCTGGGCCCTTGGGGCTCAGGGGCTTCCTCTCCTTTTGTGCAACCACCTCGATGGAGCCGAGAAGCAATAGGAAAATTCATAGATCAAAAGACTGCAATTCAGCCTCGCAAGGTAAAACTATGACCAGGAAAGAAAACCCTGTACATAAGTAAGCAGGGAGCTCTGCATTCCTGGGGAAGAGGCCTGCCTCAGGATTCAGAGAGGCAGCATGGCAAGCATGAACCTGAAAGGCAAACCTGCTCGGCCACATTGTTTCCTGCTGACAACCCTGGGAATCTCGCTGAGTGGTTGAAGTTATTTTGCCTTGAAGCTCTGCTCCACTTTAAGGGTTTCACATTCCCGTAGGATGTAACAAAAAGCTGAGGCAAATACGAAAATTCTTAAATTTGGCATATGCCTATTTGAACTCAAGATTTTATTAAAAAACACATCACCAGTTTCCACCTCTGTCAAGGGCTGTGTACACCAAATCTCTCATAGGATGTTCCTGAGAGTATTGGCTCTGAAACGGCTGTGAACTCCTCTCCCTACCACCTGATACTCAATTCCACATCTTCTTGTGTCTCATCTGGGAATAAATACCTCGTTTTGACAGGCTGTAGAGCTTCCTATTTCAAAACTTTCCTTTTCTTCTGGCAACTGCTCCACTTATTCAACTCCTTTCAGTTTCTTTTTCATTTACTTTTAACAGTAGAGATATTGAAGTACTGAGAAACTACATTTCCAATTACTTTTTGGTATACTGTAGTGCTTTTGGAACACAGGTGCCTTTCTAGCTGTACTTTGACTCTTTGCATTTGCTACTGTTAACATCCACAATAACTATTAGTTAACTGCAGTTTAAACCAGCGGCCTCTTTCTAGATCAAGACAGCAAGGAACACAAGTATTTTTGCTTTATGCATCTCTGCAATCCAAGACAGGTATTTGGAAAAATCTTCCTCCATGGCGAGGGAGATAAATGTGTTCAAAAATTCAAACAGCACTGAAAAGGCAAAAATAAGGATCTGAATGAGCGAACATATCTGAATTCTAAAATAAATTAAAAGTTTCAAGGATTTAATGACTCATACGAAATAACCACTTTTTTCCTACTTCACTGAAAAAAGACCAGGTACAGGCCACAATCACTGCATAGCTAAAACATTACTGCAAAAAGAAAAAATAAATCCCAGTCTACATTTTAAGTGATTGCCTTATATCCATTCATTCATTCATTAGCTTAACCCTTGCAAAACACCCCACCCACTTATTGGAATGTCCAAGATTGTCAAGCTCCAACATCCCTCTGTAATCTCCTGTTTTCCTAGACAGAGGCCACAGTCGTCAACAAGTAAAGCAACAATGAGAAAAAGGGTACCAGGGAGTAAGAAGATTGGAGCTGCTCTATGACGGGGTACGAGCAGGAGCTGAGGGTGACCCCAGCACAGGCCGTACTCTCACTGACGAGGGTGCAGTCACACTGTGTCTGGAGATGGCAGGAGGAGATGGGTGCTGGTAACAGAGTCCACCTGCAGCCCCAGACATGGTAAGTGATGAACTGGTCCAGGGTCCTTCCAGGGAGTCTGGTCAGGAGCAGCAGGAGACGGGGCTGGAGACAGTGCTGGCCAGAAGGTTACAATGCAGTTTCAAGGTCCACATGGGAGACAGGTACACCTGCAGACACCTTTCAGGGCAATTAAGGCCAATCAGTGCCCTCACGGCCCTGAAACAGTATTATTTACATACAACGTGCTTTAGTACAATGTACACGCATTTATATTAAACAAAGTGCTGGCAGTATGAAAAGCCTTATCAAGGATAGTAGGGCTGTTTCTGGACGTTGGCCTGTTTATTACTGTTGTTTGAGTTTTTTTGCAAGTTGCGGTTCTTTCTGATAATATGAAATAATCTGAACAATTATGAGGCTATTAATAAAAAGGAAAAGCAAGCCTGCCAACCATATGAGTAAAAAAGTGTTATATCCTTTGAACTCCAGAAAGTACGCAGGAGCGAGCCACAGGCCTTGTCCAACAAACCACAGAGAGAGAAGCAGCACACCACGACGCCAGGACATCTTAACACTAGGCATTATGAGGGGCAAGAGGCAGAGATACCAGACAAAGTACTGGGACGTGCATACTTTGTTAAAACTCACAAAAATAGCAGTATGTAGGAAACAACAGAAGGCAAGGTCTCTGTAAAACGCTATGGACACAACCAGGAGCAAAAGCAGCTGGGGCAGGAAAGCTGCGAGCCCAAGGGCAAAACTCCATTTGCTCTCTGCAGTTAAGTACAACATGTAGAAATAGGGAGAGAAGTTATGACGGATATCCCTCCTGGTCAGGTGGTAGAGGTAGGCATGCTCCAAAAACTCCCAGCCGTACAGGTAATAGAACGCAAGAGTCAAGGCGGCCAGCACGGATCCAGCAACGGTTGCAAAAAGCAGCACGTCGCGGTTCAGCATCTTTACAAACAGCTGCCAGAGGTACGCTACGAACGCGAGCTTTGCTTTTTTGTCGCGCCCCGTATCCGCCGCCCCTTCCCCGCCGCCGCGCCTGCTCTGCAGGTGGAGCGCTATGGGCAGCGCGTAGGTCAGCGGGTATATTTTGAGGTGCACGGCCAGCCCGTAGCAGACGGCGGCCTTCCCCACGCTCCCCGCCTCCGCCAAGTGCAGGGTGGCGAGCACCAGCAGCGCGACCAGGGCCTCCGCGTTGCCCCGGCTGGAGACGGCCATGGGCAGAGGGTTGAGGAGCCAGGCGACGGCGCAGCACCCGCAGGCCTGGCCGGCGGCGGCCCCCCGGTACCGCAGGGCCCGGTAGGCGACGACGGCCGCCGCCAAGTCCCCCGCCACGAAGAGCAGCTTCCCGAAGACCTCGGCCAGGTAGACGTTGGGCGTCAGGAGCCAGGCCAGGAGCGGGGTGTAGCGGTAGGTGGCCCGCCGGTAGGGCGACCGCCCCTCGGTCACCAGCCGCGCCGCGTCGGTGAAGACCCGGTAGTCGACGTCGGTGTACCGCACCCGCATGGCGCCGTCCTGGTGCAGGCCGTACAGCACCAGGCCCAGCCTCGCCAGCAGCGCCGCGCCCAGCGCCGCGCCC